TACGGTACAGTGTTGCGGGTACGGAACTATAAATTCAGCTTAAATCACATGACAGCCGACAGGTTTGGTAATTTATTTTCGGCGAAGTCTTCAGATTAAATAGTGTATTAAACCACGATTACTAATTTATTCATTTCATAATTTTTCGTTTTGGTTATAAGTTTTTGTGGTCCTGTGTATTGTACCTGTTAACGGTAATTTCTATTTGTCAGCCACTTCCAACCAAATTCAAGTCCACGGCTTAGTAGCCACTGTTATGGAGGTGGTTAGAAGGCCTATTGGTGTAATATATTTATGAGGCATTTACAAAAATTGGAGCTTTAGATCCCGGTATATATACCGTAGCGTTCGAAAATGTGATAGGTAATTATTTTACAGTGTTCTTTTATTACCATATGTACCGATCACATTAACGAAATGGATCACTAATTGGAGTGTATTCATCTGGTTGGTCCACGCGCGCCACTAAAAAAAGGTGCAAGAGTTGTAACCTCACTTTGCAATCTTTTTGGCTTTCCTTCAATAATTATCAAGAGGACTTCCGTTGTGTACATTTTTTGTTATATTCGAAACCTTAGATCTTACGAAACACTTTCATGGTAGTAAGTATATGCTAATGTAGCCTTGTAGGTATATGCTGTTTATCTCAGAGTAAGAAATAAAGATAGCGATGCCTTGATGCTTATCAAAACGCGCCATAATCTCGTCGTGTTTGTAAATATTGCAGGAAGCGAACTTGTCACATTTCGCGAAACCATTTTTTAATTAATATTAATAATAGATATATAGAAAGGATCTAAATGGATTTTTAAATATTTATAAAGGTGGTGAAAAACAAACTATTATAAGTTGAAATTAAACGGCCTAATAAGAAAATTTAAGATAATTAGTGTGTCACGACGGCAACGCTGTAGCGATTTGACAGATGAAACTATATCTGTTTATTTCTAAAAATCGTAATTTTCGGCATTTTTAGTTCATTTTATAGATTGAAACTTATTCCATTGTGTTTAATAATTTATCAGCACCCTTTGACATGGGGAAGGGTGTTCTGTTTGTGGAACTATCTTTGTTTCCTACTCTATATGTTTATAAATTTATGCGCTACATTTACACATGACAAAAGCATTGTTCTATAAACAGGCATGCACCAAAGTTACCGCATCTCATCAGTCATCATCAAATGTTTACCGACATTTTCCATCGTGGATCTACCGCTCCAGTTTTCGTAAATGCCCAATAGGTATTATGCTGTCGGTGCCCATATTACAGTGACTCTATAAAGACAGTGTGGCCATATGCTCATTTCCGCCATTTTTCCCAAATTTATTATTGAGCTTATGGGAGAATCGCACATTTTGAGTGTAGGAATGTTGCGATTTACGCAAATCCTTCTTTTGAGAATTTTTTTTCGGGAGGTTTTTAGGGGTATTAGCAGATCAAATTACCGAATGGCTTGGGTTGTTCAATAAATAGGATTTGACATGTGTGTTCATGGTCTTTGTCTTGTAACCGGCTGAAGTGTAAAGTACGGCTTGTCTTGAAATATTTTGTTATACCTTAACTGTGTGCTTTTGCTTTTTTGTATCAGGTGAGGTATTTGCTTTATTCAATTAATCTATAAATGTGCATAACTTGAATGTAGATTGTAACTCTTTACTTATGTACTTACTGGATTCAATCACTTGTACCTCTTAATGTGTAACCTTTGTTGGTATTGGCAGTCATGTTTCATTGTCGGTAGGGCTGTATCTGTGCTGTACATACTTGCATGTGTACATATTTGCGTATTGTGCTTTTTAGTCACTCTCGATTATTTCATTGCATTTCATTATATTTGCTTATTTGGGACTGGAGTAATCAAGAGGGAAGTGTGCTTGTTTAGAGGGGATCGAGTTATTCAAGTTTATACGGGCCTTGGTGAACCTAACACTAACATTTTCACTCGTTCCGAACCCAACAACTTTAGCCCATGTCTACAGGGCCTGGGGAATCCTCCCGGCCGTCGAGGTATATTTAACACTTCTTAGTTTTGCCTGATGTATGTGTTGTAATACCTGGAGAATGTCTCGATTCCATTTTGGTTACTCATAGCGTGTTTGTAGTATTTACCCCGGTTTCGAGGGGGCTCAAAAGTGCTGTACATTAGATGTTTATTATAGGACTACTCCGAATTAGGTTTTCCTGTAGTTTTCCAATTCGTAAGGTAAATGCCGGAGTAGTATAGAACCACCTAATACCCTCTGCAGGGGCGCCGCTAAAAACCATTATGCGGGTCACTCTGTAATCGTATTGGTATTAGATTCAATATAAACTTAATCAGCTATTTATTTTTACTTTTGGTGTTCCTTATCCATAAAACACCCTCAGTGCCTGCTGAGAACCCAGTTATTACACAACGTAGGTGTCCTACATGACGATCACGATCTTAGTGCACTCGGAGTGGCCCCCGAGTGACAGATTCTCGCGGGAAACTTAAGCGAGAATATTCAAATAGGCAGCCATGTTAGTTTGGCATTCCCTCTACTACAGAATATGGTCAAATATTCCGGTGTGATTTGAAGTTGGCGTTAGCCCGCCAAGATCGGGTTCATAACCACAGCTCCCGCATGCGCAATAAAAATTACGGAAAGCACAAAGTTCACATTTAAAAGAATGAAGAAATTCTCTTAAATTAATTTATTTCTAGACTTTGCATAACTTTATTTACAATTGGTTATCAAATTACAACCACTATATCTCCGTGTTGATAGTTACGTTGGTACAGCCTTAATTTTTTTCTTAAATTGTAGAGTACCTACTTTTAGAAAAACCAAAAAATCGGTTATTTAAGTTATGTCAGGTCTATTCTACCGCCCTCGCTATAACTTTTACCAGCCGTAACCAGAACAATAACGTGTATGAACTGTACACAGACATTAAGTGTGCGTTTACAATGTACCTACGTATACGTAAGAGATACATAAAACGTAAAAATTTCGCAAAGTTGAACTGTATAGAAACATACGAAGGGGTTAAGTTTACAATGAACGTAATTTTTACGTACGTATATGTAAGCGATATGTAAGTCTTGCGCATAGTCGCAAAGGTTGAAAATGTTTCAAAGTTACGTACGGTCAAATATCATACTACTTGTAATATGATCTTTGGTTTATTGCAAACAGCGAAGTAAATTTACGGAATCGATACAGATATGTACGAGTTACGGTTTATGAAATTTTTGTATACGTTCATTGTAAACGCACACGTACATACAGATAGATATAAGGTTTTAAGTAGGTAATAGATCCACTGTCAATAACCACCTCCATAACAGTAACTACTACGCCGTGCACGTGCACTTACATGCAATGCAAATAGCAGTTGTCTACCGTTATAGGTACAATATACAGGATCACAATAACATAACCAAAAAGAGAGATTCTTATGGAATGAAAAAAGCAGTGATCGTGGTTTCCTATATTATAGTCTGGGACTTCACCGAAAATTAAACGAACATTTTCAAGTGAATGACATCAATCATCACGCAAAATCGGCTTCATAACCACAACTCACGCATGCACAGCAAAAATTACCTAAATCACAACGTTCACATTTAAAAGAATGAACAAACACACTCATAAGTTCTCGAATGATAGGGCACTTCCAGAAAAACTGCGAGCAGGGTGTTAAAGGAGGAACATCCCTTCTATCACCCCTACAGGGGGTTTTCTTCCAACCTCTCTGTAACTTCTTTAATGCGATGTCAAAATTAGGTGTTATATTTAGAAGTACGTGCAAGGTCAAATTTAAAAATTAATTTCTCAAATTCTGGGGCACTTCTAGAAAAACTGTAACATGGGTTTTAAAGGGGAACATGCCTTCTATCACCCCTATAGGGGGTTTTCTTCCAACCTCTCTGTAACTTCTTTAATGCGATGTCAAAGTTAGGTGTTCTATTTAGAAGTATGTGCGTGGTCAACTTTAAAAATTTATTTCTCAAATTCTGGAGCATTTCTAGAAAAACTTTAACAGGGGTTTTTAACCCTGCAGTGGTGACGTGAAATTTTGGAACACCAGTGGTGACCTCGGTCTGAGAGACCGAATTTGATTTTGGCTTGATTTCGTAGTTACTACGCATGTAACTTGGCTTAAAATAAAGGAAAAAGTACAGTCAATAAATAAACAAAGGCATATAAATCGAAAAATAAATTTTATTCTTGTAACATAACCAGTAGCGGTCCCAGGATTTGGTAAAGGGAGGGGCTCAAACCCGAACTTTGCCCCAACATGGAAAAAAATGAAAGAAATCTAATGAAAAAAATGAATGAGGGGGCCCGTGGCCCCCCCCTGGGACCGCCACTGACAGTAGCGGTCCCAGGATTTGGTAAAGGGAGGGGCCCAAACCCGAACTTTGTCCCAACACGGAAAAGAATAAATCTGATGAAAAAAATGAACAATAGGGGGGGGGGGCCGGGCCCCCTGGGACCGCCACTGAACATAACTAAATTGAATTATACACAATACTAAGCTTATGGGGGGATGCGCGTTGCAATGCTGCGCTGACTAGAATTTTCGTAGCATCAATGCACCGGAAAGCGGCCAATTACTCACGGCACTAAATATACCCAAATTTCCGAATTGTTCTTGATTTCTGTTTGAAAGAATGTGCAGTGGCAGCTTGAATTTTTAGGTACACCAATGGTGACGTCGATCTGACAGACCGAAAGGGTTAATTGTCAAAGAACGGCTTGCTTCATCAAGTTGTTCGTCTGGTACTAAACTCAGACACGCAAAATATTAAGCTAGCAGAACTAGCAGTGCCATGCGCTGCGTCGTTTTTATAAAAATTTGAAAAATACTTTTCGTCGGTCTGAGAGACCGTGCGTCACCACTGAAGGGTTAAGAGGAACTACGCTTCTATCATCCCTGCGAGGACTTCTCCTTCAATCTGCGTTTTGGTATGTAGGGAAGTTACATTTCTCGGTGTGTGGTTCACTTTTGAAATAAACGCTTCCAGATGACGAATAGGATAATCGTTTAATTATCAGGATACACATTTTTTTTGACAATCTTTGTGTAACTTTGTTAGCGACGTCATCGTTTACATACTACGGTGCACCCATCAAACAGAACGAGATACGTGTCTAACAATGTCTCACGTGCTCGTGTTTCTACACAGGTACATGTATTAGCATCTTGTAAATATACAAATCTCTCATTCAATGGAGATTACATATTTAACTTATCGTGTTAGTAGATATATCACGATTGAACTCGACACAATTTCCATTACGAAGGAGCATCAACTTGTCGATGTGCTTGTTCCTTACAAGAGTCGTAGAACATGAGCTTCGTTCCATTAACGGTTTATCTCTGGACTCTTTATCCATTATTAATTCCCACGAACCTGTAACTGTTCACTCAATTTGCATTACAGGTAAGAATAAGTGAAATTTGAGATTACCTATTTTTATAGCGACAGCGTACACCTCCAATTTATTGTTAAGGGGACCCGGCGCCTCTTGCACATCTTTCGATTTCCATCGGCCTTTTTCTTGCTTTATATTAAACAATATTGCGCAGCAGGTGCAAATCCTACATTCATTGTTTACTGTTATCATAAAAGGAATCGTAAAATTGGACTTACCGAATATGTACGTAAAAACTGTAAAGGTCACGTGTGACCGACGTAAATAACCCAATAAATCGCTTGCCTTCTCAAAATTGATGAACGTATAAATAATCCATTTATACGTTCGATGTAAGTAACAATCAATAACAGCTGTTTTGTTTTTGCGCAACCGCAAATAAAACGTACCTACGACCTACGGCTACTTTCCTTCTCTAACGTAACTGCGCATTTGCATGCAGAGTAGTTTTCATTCATACCATTTCCATTTGATACATTAAATTTGTGTCTTATTTTTATGCGTTACATTTTATGCAGACCGAATTTCCATTGTATGTATAAGCACATTTAAAATGCAATGTATTTTAATGCGGTGTATCGCATAGAAATGATTCACAAAATAATTCGACGTTCATTTTAATTAAAAGATGCACTATTAAATTCATTGGAATTCAATGCTACATCTTAAACTTCGATTTAATTTTTATGCCATACCTTACGAATAATTTCATTTCCATAGGTAATGTCGCAACGGGTATCTATTTTAATCCCATACGTGAATAACGTTTGTTCTTAAAGTGCATATATACGAATTTCAATGCATGCGATTTAATTTGATATACGCATGAGAATGGTTTACATTTTTTTTTGGATGCAAACATACTCGACTCAATTTTATTTAATATCAATTCAATTACACACAGCAGCAAATGTATTTCACTTCTGGTATAGCTGGACAGTTCCAAATAAATGCCTTATGTGTTTAAATCTTTTATAGAAATTGCTATTTATTTTCATGCATGACAATTAAATTGGCAATGTTTAATATTCATCTCTGTCATCTTGTAGTGTTTTAGGATTCAAACGCTAAAATCCATATTAACATTTCTTACATTTGCATACATTTGGCTAACATTTTTTTGAGATGTTGAATTTGTTGGTAACAATTCAATTGTAATTTAAATATCTTCATATACGTTATAAATGTATAATAAATAGTAAAACGGCGCACCATACCATACCAAAGTAACTGCTTCGGAACCATTGTGTATAACAGAGATAAATGAGATAGAAATCGGTGAAGCAATTGATGAATTAAAGCCCAAGAAATGCTCAGGACCTGATGGTATTCCTGCGTATGTTTTAAAAGGTTGCAAAGATATATTTGTTCCCGTATTTAAAATTTTATTTAATATTTCAATTAAAGCTAACAAATTCCTTCTAAATGGAAATCAACAAAAGTATGCCCACTTCATAAATCTGGGTCCAAGAAAAACATTGCAAACTATAGACCAATAGCTGTCTTATCGGCACCTGCCAAAATATTTGAAAAAGTGTTGCAAAAACGCATAATACAATCATGTCAAAACAGATATATCCGATAAACAGCATGGATTTATGAAGGGTAGGAGCACTGTAACAAATTTAGTTGAATTCTCACAAAACGTATCGAAAGCCTTAGAAAAAGTAATTCAATATGATGTCATATACACTGACTTTTCGAAAGCTTTCGACAGCGTAAACCATATAACCATATAAATTTGATTTTTCCGACCGCCTGCTAAAGTTCTTTATATCATATCTTGCCGAGCGTACACAATGGGTTACATTTCATTCCTGCACATCTCATACGTTTAATGTTTCTTCGGGAGTACCACAAGGATCCAATCTTGGCCCTCTCCTTTTTCTGTTACTCATTAACTTACCTGACGTTGTAACATTTAGTGATCCTTTACTTTTTGCTCATGATTTCAAATTGAGTCATCCAATACGGTCATTGTCCGACTGTTTGAAGCTGCAATATGATCTAGATGCAGTGATGGAGTGGTGTAAGGAAAATGATTTGCATTTCAATATTAAAAAGTGCAAATCGTTGAGGTTCTCGCGAAAAAGAGAGGATACAGTATTTCATTACAAGTTGGCAGTTCAAATACCTACATAACTGTGATTTTCAGAAAAAATATGTTTGTCCACGCAACAGGAGTGAAAAAAATTGTTATTTTTTTAGCGGACTGTATTAAGAAAAATTACGCAAACAATATAAGTACACACCAATGCTCATCCACTTACCTCGAGTCGGATGTTTGTAGGTGCGGGGATCCCCTTTATCAGCTTATATAGTAGTAGTACCCGGCACTAGCCACTTCACATAGAAAACCTTCGGTAAATTGTAGTAGGTACGTTTATGTGTCTGCATTCGAAAACGCCAACAACTGGTCTGCACTTTTCGTCGGCGCAGGTTTGTAGATAAAACACTCGTGTGTTTAAGATAAGTAGGTAATAGAAGTTTGAATAAAGGAAAATTTATCCGCAATGAAATAAATTAAAAATTATTAGAAAAATTAAATGGTTAATGTTGCGTCAACAATGTTTATGAGCAAATTTTTGAATTCTTTTTTGATGATCGCCTAAAAAATGTTGTGTGCACCTTGGCCAAAAGTGATTTGTTAGGCCTAATCTGAATTGCGGCCTCGGCTACCGCCTCGGCCACAAACAGCAGCTTCGGCCAAAAAAGATCACTTTTACGGCCTTGGTACACAAATAACTATTTTTCGCGCCTAATTCGACAACCTAGAAAATTGTATTAGGAATCCTGACAAGAATTTCCCTAAGATTTTCATTTGAAAAAACTTCGCTAACGCTGTGAGTGTATTGACCTCATTTCAGTTATCACTTCAACCGCAACCGAAGTAACTGAGCAAATAACCAACAAGCATTTGTTTACCGTGTACTATAAAATAGCGCAAGAGAAGCGTACGTGTTTAGTACACAATGGCCGCCGTACCAACAGTTAAGCTGAACAATGGAGTGCAAATTCCAATTTTGGGACTGGGCACGTGGCAGGTAGGTGGCTCTGCACCGGTCATTTTCTATTTCGCTTTTAGTCCCCCGAAAGCGAGGTGAAGCAAGCCGTTATGGATGCGATCGACATCGGCTACAGGCACTTCGACTGCGCGCACATTTACGAGAATCAAAAGGCGATCGGTGAGGCGATTTCCGCCAAAATTTCGCAAGGTGTCGTGAAGCGCAGCGATCTCTTTATAACGAGCAAGTTGTGGAACACCTTTCATCGACCAGGAAGTGTCGAACCCATCCTCCGATCCACTCTTAAGGAGATGAATTTGGAATACTTCGATTTGTATCTGATTCATTGGCCCTTTGGATTTAAGGTATGCGTGCCTTGCGCGTTTCAGTGACAAGCGTTTGTGTTCAGGAGGGAGATACTTTGTATCCGGCCGGACCGGATGGATTCGAATACTCTGACTACGATTACACGGAAACGTGGGCCGCAATGGAGGAGGTTCACAAGAAGGGATTGGCGAGGGCGATCGGGGTCAGCAACTTTAACAAGCATCAAATCGAGCGAGTACTCGCCGTTTGTACCATCACTCCGGCGATGAATCAGGTAAAACCCCCATGCGATTTCAAAGTGCGTAACGCATCCGTGAACAGGTGGAATGCCACCCCTATTTCAATCAGAAGAAGTTGAAGGAGTTCTGCGAGTCTAAAACAATTACCATCACGGCTTACAGTCCTCTCGGATCTCCAGGTATCCAAACGGATGGCAAACGAAAGAGTCTCCTCAACGACCCGGTACTGAAAGACATCGGAACGAAATATCACAAGACGGCCGCACAAATTGCGATACGATATCAGATGGAAAGGGGGATCGTCGTCATACCAAAATCAGTGCACAAAAAGCGATTAATTGAGAATTTCTCCGTTCTGGATTTTTCCCTCTCTTCTGAAGACATTGCGAAAATCGACGCCTTAGGAACGGACCAACGAGTGGTTACCTTCGACGAGTAAGTTTAAGTTTGCCATAAAACTGGTTGTATTTGTGTGTTTTTAGAGTTCGAAGTCATAGGTTTTATCCATTCTCCGATGATTATTAGATGAATGCTGATGCATCAAAGTGCAAATCTCTGTACACGTTCTCGCATTAAAAATGTACAACAATGAATCACTAGTTTACATATACCTTCTTCCCATTTTTTCGGGAATGCCTAACTGTCCCTCCAGCTAAAGATTGTGATAGAATTCATTGATATTTGTTTGATATTTCACGTAAAAGCTGATTCCGTACCAATTTTCTATTTGAAACACGCGGAGTGTTAATGACTACGCCTAATGGAGTTTATTGAATAATTCCGTCCTTGAAGACGTTTGTTATCAAAATCTGAATGCATGGGATTGGTTCTGTTGTATGAAACTATGTTAGTCGTTGATTAAGCTATGAATTTTAACATATTAAAAGAAGAAAAAGCGTTATGATGAAAAATATTTGAACTTGATTGATAAGGTGTAGATGCTCGTGGGGGCCTGGCAGCATCGCATTAAAGTCAAACACTTCAAAGTAAGGCAAACTTTAGAAACTTTAATTTAATATAACCAAAGTAAGGCCAAAAAATGGCAAACAATACCCCATCTCCGTCTACCTACAACCAGGACGTACAGTCTTAGGTGGCGACTTTAATGCGATGCCTTCCCTTTTCCTAAAGAAAATTTTGATTCCCATTGAATTAAAATTTTCCAACTATTAAGTATAATGCTTATAAATGGCATAGTGACCTACATCATAAATGTGAACGACTACGGTAACGTTTGATCTTATAATTTTAAGCTCAAATGTCGCATTAGTAGATTCCATAAAAGCGATATTTGGATTAAAATTCCAAAGACGTCGTTCATTATGCTCTTAGTTTGGAAAAACTTCCAAGGTTTATTTTAAAACTAAGTTTTTAAGACGTTCCGAGATAGCATACCTAGGAATTCGAAGAAATTTACAGATTTATTTATTAAACAGTAACATCTAGTGACCGGATCTCGAAATCGATGATGGTGGAGAATTATTGCATGTCGGAAAAAGGATAAAACTTGTGACTTCTCACTCTGAAAAGGAGGCGTGAGTTAAAGTGAAACTGTCGAACTGCACTTACGATGGTATGAAAGTAATGAATCGGAGGTTCTCGTTTAGACCGTCGATCTTCGCCACGTCTTCCGACGGTAGATGAAAATCAAAAACACCAAAGTTTTCCGCTTGGCGTTTCTTGTTAAACGACTTTGGTATAACGACGACGCCCCTTTCGATCTGATATCTGATGGCAATCTGCGCCGCTGATTTGTTGTACTTCTTGGCGATTTCGTTTAATGTTGTATCTCCGAGGACGTTCTTCATATGCCTGCGCTGTTCCAGAGTGGGAGTACCAAGGGGACTGTAAGCCGTAAGAACAATCCCTTTGGAGGCACAAAATTCTTTAAGTTTCTTCTGGTTGAGATAAGGATGGCATTCGACCTACACAATAGGGTCCACAACTCGCGTCTGATTTCAATTGGGTCATTACCTGAGTCATTGCTGGAGAAACCGTGCATATATGGAGCACTCGCTCAATTTGTTGCTGACACCAATCGCTTTCGCCAATCCCTTGCTGTAAATTTCTTCCATAGCTCTCCAAGTTTCAGTATAATCATAATCAGAGTATTCAATACCATCAGGTCCACTTGGAATGAGACTCTCCCCCTCCTAAAAAAGGAGGTGAAAAACAAATCACAAGAAAGTTTAACCTTAAATCCGAAAGGCCAGTGGATGAGGTATAGATCGAAGTACTCCAAGTTCATCTCTTTGAGGTCCGCCCTGAGGACCGCTTCTACGCTTTCCGGTCGGTGATAAGTGTTCCACAATTTCCCGGTGATAAAGAGGTCACCTCGAGTTACCACACCTTGCGAAATTTTCTCGGTGATTGTCTCGCCGACTTTTTTCTGGTTTAGTGCACAGTCAAAATGTCGATAACCAACATCGATGGCGTCCATTACGGCTGACTTAATCTCAATCTCAATCTTTATTTGTCCGTATACCAAAAATAGGTTTTGACACGTCAGAAAATATGGTAAATATTAAATTAGTACAATGCATATATATATATAAAAGGAATAATAAAAACAGTTTAAAATTTCAAATAAATAAAAGGTAGACAGACCATGTGGCTAAAACAGAATATAGATTATAAACAATTTAAAATTTTAGTTAAAAAGAGACAAAACAGAGATAAAATATAAACAAGTAAAGGTAAAAATGACTAGAGAATACTACTACACAGGTACAAAAAATTCAAGTAAACAAACAATGAAATAAATAAATATCATTAAAATTATTGAATAGATCTCCAAGGCGTATGTAAATATTCACTAAAAAGAATGACTTAATAAGTGCGCCTTAACGACTCTTTTAAATTTATAAAAATTGTAAGGTTTGATACAATCAGGAACGATATTGTATAAGTCGACCCTAAGACTGTTATTTTTAGACCTACTTAGTTTATAATAGGGCGTTTTTATTTTTTTTGCTCCTCGTGTAGAATAGTTGTGAGAGAAGTCATTGGTTTCAAATTTATTTTTGTTTTTATGAATTTCCAATATGGTGTAATATATGAAAATAGATTGAAGAGGCATAATATTTAATTGTTTAAAAATAGGTCGGCAGTGAGCACGATAGTCAGCATTTACGATTATACGGATTATTTTTTTTGCAATAAAAACGCCTTGCTCGCTTTGGAAGAGTTACCCCACAAAATTACACCATATTGTAAATGTGAATGAACTAAAGAAAATAGCACGATCTTAGGGTGGCTATACAAAGTGATCGTTTTAAATTCCTTAAAATAAATAATGATTTGGATAACTTAGATAAAACTAAATCAATGTGATTGCTCCAAGTGAGTTTTTCATCAATATAATATATGCCTAAAACTTTAACACACCTGCCGGTTGCAACCTTATTGTTTGTGGAGAGGGTAATTATGTGAGTTTTATCTTCATTTAATTTTAAGTTGTTCCTAATTGTATTAAATTATGACTTTTAAGGGCTAGAGTTTCGATATTTTGGTCCGAAATCAGTAATGCAGTATCGTCAGCATATGCAACAGCGTGATTAGGATGTATATATTCGAAAAAGTCATTAATGTATATAATGAACAGTAAAGGACCTAATATGGACCCTTGAGGGACTCCATGCTTAGTATTAATTAACTTAGAATATATACCGTCAATCAAAACGCATTGCTTGCGATTATTAAGGTAGGTTGACATTAACGATCCCGTTAGTCCCCTAATCCCATATAATTGAAGCTTATCTAACATAATATCAAACGAAACGCAGTCAAAAGCTTTGGACAAATCGCAGAGTATTAATGAAGAATGTTCCCCGTTCTCCCAGGATTTTACTACTAGAGATATAATTTGGCCCACAGCTTCTGTTGTGGAATGATTTTTTCGAAACCCATACTGACCACGATTTAATAATTTATTACGCTCTAGATAGTTATATAATCTTTTATTTAAAACAATTTCAAAAAGTTTACAAAACATTGGGACTATAGCAATTGGTCTATAATTGTCTATGTTGTTTGGGTCTCCCTTCTTAAAAAGGGGCTTGACAACTGACACTTTAAACGCCTCAGGAAAATTGGCTTCTGAGATACAAGGATTAAATAGATGTACCAAATACTTAATGTATATTATATGTATTGTATTTTTAATTAAT